CCCCCCCCCCCCCCCCCCCCCCCCCCCCCCCCCCCCCCCCCCCCCCCCCCCCCCCCCCCCCCCCCCCCCCCCCCCCCCCCCCCCCCCCCCCCCCCCCCCCCCCCCCCCCCCCCCCCCGCCGAATTTTTTATTGAATCACTAAGACCTCTATCATTATGCGTCTATAGATAGTTTGTTAGCGAAGAGATACAATGAAAATTTTATACCAAAGAAGTCATGCAAAGACTTCTACGAGTTAAGTATATCGACCTCAGGCATATCCGAAAGTACGCATTATTTAATTAATGAGGATATTTTATTTTATGCCTAGTCTGGCTAAATTTACCTGCAAAATGTTTATCACCAATCTTTTATTTGAATAATCTATAGAATTGTAAAACAAATCCGAAATTTCATAGTTGCGAAAAAGATTATGTAACTCGTCTTCAAGCAACATCTTTTTAATATCCTTTAGATCAGGTGGAACGTTTTTATGCTGTTGAAAAATTTGTCAAAGGCGATAAAGATGTTCTTGTTGCAACTGATGTAGCTTCGAAAGGCCTGGATTTTCCTGACATTCAACACGTTATTAATTACGATTTACCAGAAGATATTGAAAATTATGGTAAAATAAAATTTCGATTAGCTAAATTTCAATGCTCTTTTTTCTCCTCTTAGTTCATCGCATTGGTCGAACAGGTCGTTGTGGCCGACAAGGTCTTGCTACAACGTTTATCAATAAAACATGCGGTAAATATTCAAGAATCCTTGCATTTATCCTTCACTAATGATTTTTATTGTTCATAGACGAAGCCATTCTACTTGATCTTAAACATCTATTAATCGAAGCTAAACAAGCTGTACCATCATTTTTACTTCGACTTGAATCCGACAAAGAACGGCTACTTGCTATTGGCGGTAAGATTCATTTATTCATTTTTCCGTTCAGGGAAAAATCTTTTTCTGTTTAGATGAGCCCGGTTGTTCATACTGTAATGGTCTTGGCCATCGTATAACAAATTGTCCTAAACTCGAGTCTCAAAGTACCAAGACAGCAAATAATATGAAAAAGAATGATTTCTTGGCAAAAGGAAATTCAGATTGGTGATCAGTTGTTGTTCGTTTTTTTGTATTGAATAAAATCTACACAAGTATATGTGTATAAAGAAAAATATATTTTTTGTTTTATAAAATAAAATAATTATTCAAAATCAGTATGTCGAAAGAATCAAGATTATGACCAAGTAAAAGTTCTCTTTTTCACAGATATTCCAGTTCAATTATTTTATTTTTGTTGTCATATTCATCTATGCTTGAAATATATGAAATAAATATCTAATATTAACTTTCTTTATGAAATGTAAAGGATAATTTAATGATCTTAACCATGCAAAGGAGAAAAAAAGAATATTCTTATAGTGATTTATACCGGAAACACTAATGGGTGAAAACAGCAAGACGTTTTTTAGAGAAGATAAGATTATCTCATTTATTTATTTCTCTCTATCTTTCATTAATTGTGTTTTGGCTCGGCAGTTGCTAAATTTGACATCGCCAATAATATAGGTGAGTCTAATGCAATAGTCTGAAAGTCGATTGATAAAAAAATAGAGTAGAATATAATTGTCTTTTTCCGCTTCTGTGGTCAGTTGGTTATACTTAGTTCAATTTCTCTCATTTTTTTTCCACAATTCTTATTTTCTCTTTCTGATTGTGAACCCAATTGTATTGTCATCAATCGGATCAGATCATGTTCGTTTCAACGAACACACTATGATGAGAAAATGAATGACATTTCAATACTCTCTCTCTCTCTCTCCCTCTCTCGTTTTTTCTTCTTCCTCTGCTGCAAGACAACAAAAATCACCCTATGAAATATTTCATCTGTTTATCGCAATAAATCAATCAGATCTATAATCTAAGTATGGCTAACGTTGATATTTCATTTTTGATTATGATCTTTTCTTCTTTAACTTTCTTTTTTTTGTCGTCTATTAACAATGATAAGTTCTTTGTAATTAGTCACTTCTTTTCCTATTGATAGGCATAGCGCTTACACGCAGAGACCCTGAAGGAATGCAATGCTAATTTTACTTTGATCATTTCAGCGGAATAACTGACGGTGACAGCGACAAGCAAGAGCAAAGCAAATTACATTGCGTTAACACCTCATTTTGTCTTTTTTCCCCTGTCTCTATCATCATCATCAAATAGTTAAGATTGCTTTTCTTCTTCTTCTTCTTCTATCGTATAAGGAAATATTTTCATATGCGGATATCATCATGCTAGAATGATCATTGATATATAAGCACGAAACTTGCATGTCGGTGTACTTGTGAACAAAGAATCTACGGTCCCATATATATGTACGAGGCGTTAATCAAATAGAAACGAGGCTAATTATTATCTTTAGACCAAGTGGAAATAACAATTCGAGCCTGCTGTGACTGATCGATGATATAGAAGACATGTAGCCGTTTTGTTTTCCCGAACATCTTAAACGAGCCTTGTTTGCGGCGTCAAATATCCAAGGGAAGATGTATCATCTATTTAACCTGCTGGTTATAATCATAATTTTGTTGATAGTATCGTAAACATTTTGATGAGTTTTTATTTTGCCGGAGAAAACGAATATTTACTTTTAATCATAAATGCAATGGCCGTAAATAGTGAGGATTTTTTTCTCTTCTTGCCTTCACAATCTCAGTTTTGCAGGCTTGAAGAAACAAATTTTTGATTAGTCTATTGCGATTCAAAGAATCCATGTTTGATGGAAATAAAAATTTGCCTATACTACCAGAAGAAAAAACATATTCCTTGATTAATTTCAATGAATAAATCTTGACGAATCATTTGAGAGATTAACATATCTTAAATTTTTATAATTTCAATCTATTCATTTTCTCTTCTAATGTTTTGTTCTCTTCTCAATTTTACGCGTCTATTAATATGCGACAATAACAAACGGATTCTCTCTTTTTTTTAATTAAAATTCTAGGCGTCTTATGTTATATGTTTCGTTTCGTTTTGTCCGCGAATAATAAGCAAAGGCACATCAATGATTTGATACCAACTTGCAAAATGTTGTAAGATTTTTTCAAGCAGAATTTATGAGACGATAATGATTGTCCTTCTCTCTATGAGAATTGTCGCTGCTGACCAGTGTGTCCTTGTCTGATTATGCTATGATGTGTAATCAAGCATAGTTCTTTTTTTTTCTGTTGCTCTCATGCTGGTCAAGAATAAATCTCGAATTTGATTTCAATCAACATGATACACGGAAGAGTCAGGTAGACGAAGAAGAAGAAAAAAAACAATAAATTGATGAACTAAATATAGCCAACCAATGATTAAACGACCCGAGAGGAAAAAGGAATCAGTCAACCAATAGTTAATTTGTTCTCTTCTTTCTTTGCCTACTTGGTTGCAACAAAGTGGCTTGGTGTTGTCGTCTACAGATGAAGAATGACAAAATGTAAGGAAAAAAAAGGTAGCCAGTCAAGAAAGGGAGAACAAATTTATTCATTCGAGCAGAAAAATAGAACGAGAGAGAGAGAGAGAGAGAGAGAGAGAGAAAGAAAAAGACCGACAAACAATCGGATTTGCTGCCGGTGAACTCCTCTATGCCATTTTTCTGTCTCGCGGTCTCTCTCTCTCTCTCTATGTCTCTTTCTTATCCTTTCCCGATCTATTTCTTTTTTTGCTAGTCGTTATACGCTTGCCCGATTTTTCTCCAGTTTATGTGTTTTGTCTCGATGCTTTCAGTTGTAAGCGCATAAATCGAGCGTTCACACGAGGCTAACTAACCGAATCCGTGCGAGCGTTGTCCGCCCGCCCGCCCGTGTGTGATCCGAAACAAGTTCCAACTCAGTGAACTGTAAGTTGTTACTAATATTCTTGATCAGAAAAAAGACGAGGACGAAGAAGAAGAAAGAGAAGAATAGAAGGCATTTCTTTTTTATTTATTTATTTATTGAAAAAACACAAAAACCAAAAGACTAGATATATATTAATATCAGAATTAGGCCTGGCGTCTATACTATTTTTCCTTCTTCTTCTTTTGATTGATAAGCATAGAATTACAATAATGACGAGGTATACTTGTCATATATTAGCATTTTTATTTTCATTTGAATTTTTTTCTTCATTCCAGTTCGTTTAACCAATGGATATTCATAATGATCTCTCAATGTCGCATAAAGGTAAGTTATTGTTAAATCCAATAACATGTTATTGTTTTGACAAGAAATTAGACGGTGATCGATCACCGGAGGATTTTTTCAATGGTGAATATAAAGGAAAGGAATTTTTGAAATTATGATTTTCTAATTAATTTCAGGGCATTCGGGAGTCAATCAACTTGGAGGTTTATTTGTCAATGGTCGACCATTGCCTGACACAACTCGAACACGTATTGTTGAACTTGCACATAATGGCATGCGGCCATGTGATATAAGTCGGTGTTTACAAGTATCAAATGGTTGCGTATCAAAGATTTTGGCACGCTACTATGAAACTGGTTCAATAAAACCGCGTGCTATCGGCGGTTCGAAGCCACGTGTAGCGACGTCGGACGTTGTCACTAGAATTGCTCAATATAAACGCGAAACGCCGTCGATATTCGCATGGGAGATTCGCGATCGTCTTCTAGCAGATAATATCTGCAATCCAGAAAATATACCAAGTGTAGGGGATTTTTTCCGTTTTAAATCATTGACAAAAAAAATCATCATTTATTTTTTCAGGTTTCATCAATAAATCGAGTACTTCGAAATCTCGGTTCGAAATCTCTGGATTCAATGACCAATCATGAGACCTACTATTCAGTTGATAATAAACTACGTGTTTTACACAGTCAACCATGGTCATCATCGTCACCATCATCGTTCTATGCTCATCAACCATCGTCAAGTATTTATTCGAATAGTGGTGATTCGAATTCTGAATATAAACATCAAACAACCGATATCAATCATGGAGGACCACATCATGATTTAGGAGGTAGAATAATAAAAAAAGAAAACGAATTTATATATACTCAACATTTCGTGAAGTCACAGATGTAAGCTTTAGTAGAAATCTAGACCACCTGTTGATGCGGATCGGTCGGTTAGAGAACAATTAGAATTAACTGCTGATGCCCTGAAGTCATATCGAAGAACAAGAAGAAGAGAAAAAAATCATTAAATGAATTTCCTTCTTTTTGTTTCTTTTCTTAATGATTGATAAATGAAAATAAATGATCAGACGGTCATCAAGGCGGAGTTAGCCTTATTCTCATCTTAAAATAATAACAACAAAAACAACAACATCAGCATGAACTTTTTTCTTCTCCTTCTTCTACAGTTTTGACGTCAATGTTTTTTATCTCTATACTAATTAAGAAAAATACACAGTAGGACAGACGGGAAATCATGTTTAAATCTAATTGGATGTTTCGCTTATCTTAAACAATAACAAAATTCTCTTCTTCTTCTTCTTCTTCATGCCAACAGAATCATTATTAACTTCCCAAATCGATAAGAATTTCTTTTTAGAAAAAGTAAAAGATTGTTCAAATTCTTTTTTTCTCTTCTTCTTAATTCCGCTTTGCTGAGCTCATAAAAATCGTCACTACATTCTCGTCTATTTTACAGATGTTCTCTTTCCATACTCTGTCATGTTATTCCACATCGTTGATAGCATTCTATTTTGTCATTCAATTGTAATGAAATTGTAGACAAAAGAGAAGAATAGATTTTCTTCTTATTAATCTCTTGATGTTTGCATAAAAAAAAAAAAGAAAAGCGTATACAGAGATGATATGTCAAGATTTCGGCATCTAATGAATATGTTCTTTTTACGTATTCGTCATGATGATAAGGATGTTTCAATCATCGCCATAAGCTTCATCATCATCACACCACCATTATCAAAGGACTACTTTATATGTTTAGATTTATCTGATGGTAGTGACGATAGTAAAATAGGTCTACGAGAAGGTTTAAACGAAAATGAAGAAGCTGTACAAGAACGTTTAAAATTGAAAAGAAAATTGCAACGGAATCGAACCTCATTTTCTCAAGAACAAATTGATGCTTTAGAACAAGGTAATTCGCAAAAAGGAACTTTTTTATTTTTCCTAATTTCAATTCAATTCAATAGCTTTCAATAGTTCACATTATCCAGATGTATATGTACGTGAAAAACTTGCACATAAAATTAATCTACCCGAAGCTCGAATACAAGTAAGATCCTTGGAAATATTTATTTATTTATTTATTTATAAAATGAATAATTCAAGGTGTGGTTTTCTAATCGTCGTGCAAAATATCGTCGCGAAGATAAAGTTAAAGGCCGACGACAACATCAACAACAATTAATGAACGACATGGGTGAAAATATGCGACCGTCAGGTGCAACACCACCACTTCCACCACCATCATCTGTTTATCCTCAAATGTTTCCATCGAGTAATCCTTCGATAAATAACGATCCGCATCATCATCATCATCATCATCAATATGGACCGTTTAGTTCAGGATTTAGTGCTGCTGTTGCATGTAGTTCAAGCGGTTATCCAACATTTTTTCCCAGTAAAGTCTTTTTTTTCTTCGGCTAATTGAATTTTATACCCTAGAGGAATTTTTTATTTTCTAGCTTCAACACGTGGTTACGACGGACTTAGTCCATTTAGCACACCTTATAATCGTTCTTGTTCAACTTATCCAACAGGCATTCAAACTAATCTATCTGCAGGTAGGTGAAAAAAACTCAATTTAACAGAAATGTTTATTTTTATTTGTAAAGATCAAATGAAAAACATGTCTTCAATGTCAGCGTACGGCAGTGCTCCGCATATTTGGTATCCACAAATATTACCGTAAAGAGAAGAAAAAAAGGTATGTGTTGTCTCTCTCGAGAGCGAAACATGTTTGTGAATTGTGCTCATTTTTTGTTTTCGATTGAAAGGTGATGATTTGTTAGATAAATAGAGATTGAACGTGTGAATAATAGAAAACAACTTGATTTTTTTTCTTCTGTTTTAGACTCAAATCGACGCGTTTCAACTATTGTGAACATTGATTTATGTATCATATTGATTGCTTGTTTTTTTTCTTCTTGTTTTTCTGTATTGTCTCCTATTGTTTATCTTCGTCTTTTGTTTTTTATATTTTCAATGAAATACATATGGAGCTTCGCCTTGATTATATATATCATGCATGAAATAAGAAAAAAAATTATTTTCTGATTTTTTTGTCATACGGATGTATTATTTCAAATAGATCTCAATCAATGAAAGAAAATAACACAAATTCTAGATGTGATATAGCGAAAAATATAATATTAAAAATACGATAGACTGACTTGCCAATTTGTCTTTTTGTGCAACACTCTCTTTTGATTGGTCGTTTATTATCCCACATAAATTCATGATTTATTAGATTGAATCACATATGAAAAATCAAAATATTACTCTACGCTATTCGGACCTTAGAGTTAATATTACTCGAGAAAGTCACAATGACCAGCATACTCGAAAAACTCGCTTCTATCCAATTAGATGCCTGTTAGATAATAAAAAAGACGCTTATCTGATTTTGAGGAGAATTGAATAAGTATGGCATTGTTTATGGCCCACCCACTGGAAATTATTGTTATATTATTATTTGAGAGTTTTCGCATGAAAAAGACGAACAAAAAAAGATTAAAAAACAGTAGTATGGAGCACATATGTCGCTCCAAAAACTTTGAATTTCGAATTCGACACACAATAATATTGCTTTTTGTTTTTTTACTCTTCATGTTAAAAACTGCCGTTTGCTTGTTACAGTTATTTGGCTTTCTCGTTAAAGCTAACCTGAAATGCTGCTGAGGTAAAGCAAACTAACATTAAAACCTGTGTGCAATGTCAAGACAAAATTGGATTTAAATGAATGATGAGTGATATTTTTCTTTCATCGTCGAAACGTTGTCTTTCCGTACAAAATAAATACAATTTAAATTGCCATAATTCACGTAAAACAAAAAACATATGTACATGATTTTTGCGAATGAAGTGCTTCTAATGCACTATTGACGTGAAAGACGTATTCATACAGTCGCTGTTTACAACAAATAAAAAAATGTATTTTTTTTTAAATGCGCATCGATTTTTTATTTAAATTATTTCATATGAGATGAAAGTTGAGGGTAAAGTGCAACGGATAGGTCAATCTTTAAATATCTCTTTGCTTTCATCTGAATCAGAGATAATGTATTAACTGAACCAATTTTCTAGATTAGGATCTACGATGCTGACCATTCCAACTGTTTGGGCTAAAGTAAGTGAGACAATCGGTTTTCTGATGCTTACAACTTTTATCGAAATAGACGCGACCTAAATTTTTTCTTTACACTACTACAAGTCATCTTGTGACAGTAGACACATCATTGAAATCAACAAACCTCATAGAGAAATCATCGAGACGGTAAGTTTGAAGTTAGTTTTTCGAAAAACAAAACAGTATAATTGTGATTTTTAAGACGAGCGGTTGGTGGCTGTTTTTGGTGCAAATGTTTACTTTGTTGTACATTGACGAGCGTTTTACTAATGATAATTCCGTTGAGGATTTTGCTTGGCTTATGGCTATCGGGAAATTGTAAGTGTATCAGGGATTTCGCCCTTTTTGATGCGGACTGAAAGTTTTGAGAAGCTCGCAATAGCATACAGATTTTCAACATCAATTTTTATTCTTCGAGAATACTCACGTCAAACAGGTTTTACTTCTATTTCAATGTAAAATAATTTGAAGTGATTTTTATGATGAAAATTGATTATTTATAGCATCGGCAACATCGGTTACCGACACAACTACAGCAAGTAAAGCGAGAGAGGATACATTGAAACGCTGGTTACTATCAGTATTTAGGTTCAACAACGTTGGCAAATAACACGGGCAACACATCTCAAACAGGTATATTTTCGGTTAAAACATACATGTTGATTGGAACACTTTTAAGGGGTTCCCCCCTCAGGAATCGGCTTTCGTTATTCGTGGACCGATTTGCCTGAAATTTTAATGCAATATAAGTATTGTGTTAACTCAGTTTCTTGCAAAGTTTTGGCTTATAAAGTTGTTGCTTTAAAGAGTTATTGACAAATTAGTCCCCAAAATGGTGGTTCTCGTAAGGTACCGATTTCTCGAACTGCCAAAGACGTAGAGAGCTACTTTTTTTTTAAATGAAAGAAGAGACCTATATCTAGAAATGTAAATAGCGTTTTTTCGAAATTCGATTTTGTTCGGGTTTCCGAGATATTCTACTGCAAGAACTTGGAATTTAGCACTTTTTGACATCAGTGTTATCCAGTTATCTGGGCAAAGAAATCGAATTTCGAAAAAACGCTATATACATTTCTAGATATAGGTCTCTTCTTTTATTTAATAAAAAGTAGCTCGCTAGCTCTTCTACAGTCTGAGAAATCGGTTCCGAGCTCTCCAAAAAAGTGATTTTGAGAAAACGAATAAACAAGTTGTATGAAACAATTTTTAATTTCACTATGACTGTCACGACATCTATACGGCAATTTCGTTATGTGTACAGGATTTTAAGCAGAAATGACTACGTTTCATTAAATAATTGATATAACAGAACGCATATCTGTTTCTCATTAGATAAAATCTACCAGTTTGTGGACCAATATCACATACCCGTAACTAAGGAAAATTTCTGCAAAAAACCTTATATTTCTACTACTGCTTCCAGAAAACCACTATTTTCACTGCCAAAAACCATTCAAAATGCGACAAATCGCACATAATCTGAAAGAGGACACTTTGGGCTCTCAGTATTAGTGCTTATCACAAAATCGACTTTTGTGAAAAAAAATCGATTTTCTGAGGGGGGGGGAGCCCCTTAATCTAGGTACTATATTGAGGACAACTTTAAGTATGTTTATATATAACAGAAGACATGACGACATGAATTGCTTCACCTAGGGTCTATTTCTACATCATTGACAACATCCAACATTATTAGAAGTATGCATTTATGATTTTCAGGTTTTTCAAACAGTATCCTTTGCGCACTGTAATTTCAATGTAGTCATTCACTGTTTCCCTAAACGGATAAAGTTAGCAGCCATTGTTCACGTCATATAATTTTATTAGGTTTTTGAAAAGTTTCCTCTGTAAATCAATACATTTGTTAAAAAGATAGAACATAGCGGAAATTCTAAAATCCAAGTTCAATCGAAATACATTTCATCATATTACTCGGTAACTTTTTTCATCGTAGATCGATTTTTTTTCTTTATAGATGTTTTAAAATTGAAAAAAATTCATTATATCGCGACACTAACGATATTGAACATTGATTCCTATCAATACCATTTAATATTAATTTTGTTAGCAAAAATAAAATAGTTAACATAATTGATATTATCACATTCATAGATACCGGTGAGTTCTAGGTTTTTTTTAATTACATCAAGAAAATCATATCAGTGCGCTTTCAATGAGTACTGAATCATAGTGGAAATTCTATGAGTCGGTTGAAACGAATAAGTCGATTTAATTTAGTTAGATTAGGATAAATATGAATTACAAATCGGGTCTTCTATTACCGATCATAATTATTTTCTCCTTTTTACGACTTTAACATTTTCATTTTCATTAACATAAACACGATCCATTTTTTGTGTGTCTTTGTAGATATTGTTCATGAGGAATCGATCCAATGATTGAAATCTAATTAGAAAATTGAACTACATATGCAAACAGGCGCCTATTTATTCGAATACTAGTTTCTGTGATGAACGAAATGCAATATCTAAAAGCAAAACAAAATCAAGAATTGCATCTAAAAATGAGTAAACGCTTGGGATACGTAATTGAGACCATAATGATATAAAAATCTATCAATAATATAGAAAAAGTAAAAAAAGATTTTATGATTCATGACGTAACTTTTCGAGTAGCCATGTAACTCTTGACTACACGAGAAAATATCATGTATCAAAGTGTCGCCTTCTAAGTTTCACATCCAGAAACAGGAGTAAAACGCTACGTACAATATTTAGATGGGCAATACATGAAAACGTCTTTTGGAAATGTCGACATTTTTGCTATGAAAATTTTCAATAAGTATATAATCCTTGCTGTGATATATGTCACTACAGTGACCTGAAAACAAAATTGCACTGCAAATTCATCTATGAATTCATAGCTTTATCCTTTTGCTACTTTATTTGTGGCTTCCTCATTAATAGAGGTCTTTTTGATTACACGATAAACCAGTTTCTCTTATATCAGGGGCAACGTGCCTGTTTTCAACTTTTTTTTTATAAAGATGGTATGACTTCAAAACAATCGTCCTCAGCACTTATGAAAAAGTTTCAAAAGCTGGGTATCCTTTTGTGAAAAAATTCCGCTCACTAGAAAACAGAAATACTACCTGTCTTTTCATCACTGAATGAAAAGATTAGACTATTCTTGCTCGCATATATAAATCAGTACAGGACCATTTTTGTGAAAATAGTTTTGTTTACTTAGCGACGACCACAGACACGACAACTACAGGTAGGTGAAGTCTTTTTTTTCGTTTTTTTCCATTTGTGCGTATCATTCTAGTAACCGGATGTCCAACTACTAATGCAGGAAATTTATTCAATTATACAGGAACTGGTCCTCTCGGCTGGAAATTGTATACACTCACTTGGGTGGCTACCACTTATCAGCCATCCCTTGTATTCTCATTTATGATAAGTGGCTCCCGTGAATTATTTTTGGACGATGTGAGTGTTGCTGATGCTAGTCAAGCAGGTGTGAATTTGCTACGTAACGGTGACTTTGAAATTTCGACAAAGGTAGCTGTCGAATGGTACGATTGGTGTGGCAACAATTGCATTGGAAGTAAAGGATATATAAATACTGGCAGTCTGTGTCATGGAAAAAATGGCAATTGTTATGCAAATGCATGTGGCACATCCAATGTGGTGGAATTCTTGAGCCAAGGATTTCCAGCAACAGTTGGACTTACTTACACAATTAAGTTTTTTTTGAAAGGAACTGGAAATGGTCCCAATATTCCATTTGCGGTCAGCATTTACTAATCCATTGAACATGACTTTTCGTTGACAAAACCACGACGTATTACTAAAAGGCTGATTTAGAGCGCAAGTCTGAAATTTAGCTTAATTTCAGTTTTTTAGGCTGGAACACAGTTCTTTTCTTTTTGATTTCTTTTCGATATTTTTCAATACAATTATCAATATTAAGATGTGAAAGAGGGCCTACATAACTGCTCATTATTATCAATATGATGGATGATCTCTTTCGTTAAAAGTTTTATTAGATTCTGTGGATTTTGACAGGAACTCAAGAGTGAAAAGTAACTGATTTAAGACATGTGAAACCAAAACACTGCATAATCGATTGTGGGTGTGGGTGAAAGAAGATTGAGTCACACATTCATTTACTTAGTAAATTCTTCATTTGATCTAGTTGTGGCATGGCGGCAACGTGGATATCATTCTATACTCGAATCAAAGAAGAATAAATCAAGATATGTGTGCACGTCTCACTCAGAAGATACATTAATATATCGTACAAGTTTAAAGAAACAGTTTTTATACAAGCCTGTCAGAAACAGATGCTTCCGGATGAAGTTGTTAACAAAGTCGATAGACAAGAAAAACAAGAGTGTTTGAGATACATAATTTATTTTCTTTTGAAGAAAAGATTCAGTTCAACTGGTTTTTGTCGAGCATTCTTCCGGTTCGATTTAGGATCATACCAATTCGAGGATTGTTGATAGTGAGAGGCGTGAAACTGCATCGATTCATGACGTAAGCAAATGAGAAATTCTTTGCCGGAGCAGCAAATACAATACTACCGCCCGCTCCTAGAAAGTATCGATTTATTTGTATTGAATTATCTACCAATTGATTTTACCTGAATGACCAAATGAGTTCGGTCCGAACATTGGAAAATCTTGTTCGTACAGCATAAAACCCATACCGACGGGAAATGGTATTTTAAATGTGATATCGATTTCATTCGGTAATGTATTCAATGTTGTGGCACGTTGCAAGATTCTTGGTTCTAATAATCGACTATCCCTTCGTTCATCGATATTACTCATGAGTGAAGCGAAAATGGCAGCTAACGATCGGGCATTAGTGATGCCGTTTGCCGCCGGAATTTCTGCTTGATGTGTTCGTGCTTCATTGTGAAAATGATATATTTCCAACATGGATGCATTCAAGATGTCTTCGATATCAGTAAAAATCAATGGTGATACTCGTTGTTCGAACTCTTGTGGAAGACCAATGTAGAATTCAGTTTGTATGCGATTGGTAATTTCTTCTCGAATAAATTCTCCTATTGTTCGCTTTTGTGGATCGACTCGTCGGACAAGTTCGCCAGCTAGCCATCCGTAAGTAAATGCGTGATAACCTTGAGCACTTCCAGGAAGCCAAACAGGTCGTTCTTGTTGGAGTAAATCAATCATTGTTGTCCAATTCAGATATTGATCGAACGAGGAGACAAAAAGATCAGGAAGACCAGCACGATGTGACAGAATATCTGCGACAGTCGTATTCTCTTTACCATTCTGTCCGTATTCTGGCCAATAATGTGTCACAAGTTCTGAATAATCCAGAAGACCTCGTTGAACGCAAAGTGCCGCAGCAATAGCTACTAAACTTTTCGATGTTGAAAAAATCAATTGAAGTGTCTCGTTATCATAGGGTTTCGTTTTTGATGTATCAAACCATCCACCAACTAGATCCACTACTAATCGACCTTGATGATATATCGCGATCGAGCTGCCAGTATCTCGTTCTTGTACGAAATTCTCTCGGAACAAATCCCGTACAAACTCCCAACCATTAGCCATGCTACCGTAGAGATTTACATCGGTACTAATCACCAGTGAAATACAGCTTAACCAACAGATAGCTGTCGACCACATAACGTTTTCTTTATCTCGCTTCTATCAATAATGAATGAAACTCAAAGTGATTAGCGATAATTAATACTAAACAAATACCATGGATATTTTGCTTTTCGAAACTATGCTATAAAGTGTACATCATGTTGAAAGAAAAACGAAAGACGATAGATTACAGAACGAACAGGCAAATAAAGGGATTAATCTAAGTACAGAAAAATATCGATCGATCAAGATACAATAAATATTTACAGGTATGAATGACAATGGTGTTTTGCGTGCGTGAATCAGATCGCTGACAGGATGATATTGCGATGATCACAAATTCATTATTATACCATCCCAATATTCCAACAGATCGAAAGGTTCGTAGACGTGAGATTCTTTTCTCATTAATGCATGATAAACATGTGGGATATCATATTAAATGGTCTTGTCTATTGAACTCATGAGGGAAGGTCTCTGGGTGTTTCTCTGGGATTTCAACGAAACCTATGTGGGTTTGTGAAGTCAAGTTTGCTTAGAACCCTCAGAGAGATCACAGGTGAATTGTTTTGACTAAAAACAGTTCACAAAAAATTGAAATACTGACATGTCGGCTCCGTTTTGGATGTGGGTGCTGGTGTGGGTGTATGTGCAGGTTCAGCGGATACCAACAACCACACCCACACCCACACCGAAATCCACCGGAAAAAAATCCGTGAATTTCCTGCCGCAATACTGCGTCCACCTTCCAGCGATTTCCCTGGTTTCCCGGTCGTTTCCCGACGTACCGCCACGACCAGGGATGTTTACTTAGTCAGATCAAACAGTCAGCCGGTAATTTACATATGGCATGAAAGCTTGACTAAAATCCTATAAAATCCATAGTTAAAACGTTATCTTTGCTTATATATTGGTATCGAAAATCAATTAGGTCTTCTTTTGCCATTTGAGAAAATTTTTGACTAAAGTTCGAAAAAATTGTCATTTTTGTGAATGACTTACAGACTCATAGCGCCAAATAAAATGTTATGAATTTAGTACCAAAATGTTCGCATGAACGTACTATATCAACTGGTGTATGAATAAATATGTATAGCTATAAAAATTCCTGGTGGGCCGATTCGCCTTCTCATACGCCTCCTCCTTTTAGCAAAGATTTATTAAACTTCACGTGCTTAATTAGTTGATCTAATCGATTGCTGAAAAGTAGGGGTGTGAATTTTTTGTTATTGTTATTAATAACAAAATAATAACGAATAACTTAATTTTTTGAAGAAGCCTCAACTATGCTAATTCTGTTGGGCTATGTTTAAGGAATGAGTTTACTAGTGCTATGAAGGCAACCGATCGAGACATTGGAGTTTGCATCGACCGCATGGATGAAAACTTTTCACACGCTTTTTACTGTTTAAAGCCATAGAAGCTGAAGGAATTCTCACAAAACTTTCATGATTCGAACCCATTGAACCGTAGTTGATGCGATAATATAACTGAAGTTCAGTAAACTGTCCAAACAAAGGAAGAATTTTCATTTTCAAACACTTGATAAATATCTCTACCAACGAATTAATTTAATCTAAAAATTCTTATATATTTTTTTGAGGAATAATTGGTTTCTTCATGCAGCAGAGCTTGCAATCATAATTCAAAACGGTTGGCACATTTTTTTAGAATAGATAAATTCATCGATGATGTTGGTGTGGGTTGGTATGGGGAAAGAAAGACATATGCCCACACCCTTATTCCTTCACTATAACAAACGTGATCTTTAAAAATAAGCATTGGTCTATATACAAGCACCATACACTTCTAAATTACGATGATTCATTGGCAGAGATATTTATCAAGTATTTGAAAATGAAAATTCTCCCTTTGTTCTGACAGTTTATTGAACTTCAGTTATATTATCGCATCAACTACGGTTCAATGGGTTCGAATCATGAAAGTTTTGTGAGAATTCCTTCAGCTTCTATGGTTTTAAACAGTAAAAAGCGTGTGAAAAATTTTCATCCATGCGGTCGATGCAAACTCTCCAATGTCTCGATCGATTACCTGCATAGCAGTAGTAAACTCATTCCTTAAACATAGCCCAACAGAATTAGCATAGCTGAGATAGACAGCAATTCAAGTTGAGGGTTCTTCAAAGAAAAACGTTATTTGTTATTATTTTGTTATTAATAACAATAACAAAATAGTTATTGCTATTATTACCAATAACAACAAAATAACAATAACTTCTCACCCCTACTCAAAAGCAAGAGCTGAGAATAGTCGTTTCGTTTGTCTTTTCGTAAAAGGATATATCGATCTGTTTTCATTCCATCGTAAAAGGTAACATTTATGAAAAAGCTTAAAGTCAGACACCAATATATATGATATAAGCAACCACATAATACGGTGGACGATTTTCTTGAGGTGCGCTACTGCCAACGCGACTTGTTGATCCAGATATAGAGTGATCGTGTTGGCCTGCAGCTGCTGTCGTTCTTCCTATTTGGCATGCTTTATTGTTCGGTGTTCCCGATCTAATTCCTCTGTATGTTGGAACAACTATATCACATCCATCTGCATAAGTGATATCATGATAGTAGTGAGCATGGGCACCTGCAGCTGATGTTTGCGCTTAGAAAGTATGCGAATGATTTGGCATCTGGTCGGGAGTTAGTACAACACTATCTAAGCCACCTGTCATACCAATTTGCGAATAAGAAGAACCACTATTTAAAGCATCGCGTCCAACTAAAAATCGACCTCGCAAATCTGGAGTGCCATTTCTTCCATCGCAAATGTACCAACCAGAATATTCACCTAAACCTTTACCAATTGATGTTAAACCAATGATCCATTTCTGAAGAAGCAACCATAACAACAGTTCCACGAGGAAGTCCGATATTACTCGATGAAGAGGCAATTGTTGCACTTTCTTTCCGTAGATGATCGCCAACGTTATTCGCAGTAATCAGTAATGAAAATGTTGAAATCGTACATAAAATTGATAGAAACATTTTCATTTTTATAAGTTTATCCAAAATGAGTCCAATTCTGCTATGCTTATGTCAAAAGCTACTCCTTTACAAAATCACATAAAAGCAATGCAATCAGCAACAACAACATTTATTTATGAAATAAGAGAAAGCAGGATTAAAACATAGATAAGAAAATCATGAACGAAGACTTATTTTTAGATTTAACTGTTTTAGGTAGATAAAACTATCCTGCAATAATTTAATCTGGATCGAGACGTTAAGATAACTTAAGTAGATATATAAAATCGTAAAGGACTGATTGATAAAAATGGCTTTCGTTTTCATGTTTAAGACGGAACATTGTATATAACCAAGGAGATAGGAATTTGCAAAAACTAATTATTCCATCCATTTCGATGTTCTCATAAATAACATAACACTAATTTCGAATGGTAAATAATGGTCAACATGTTTAGAATCTTTCTTCTACCAACTTGTGTTATTACCGATTTTTTTCTGTATTCTATTTTTATTAAAAAATTGAAAAATTCATCAGGGCTCTGCATTACAAAGAAAAATGAAAACAAAATTGAAATTTTGGACTAATGGAAATATTGAAAATGTGTGCGTGTGTGTGTTTCGATTCAAATGACTCCAAGCTAATTACGACCATCGCTTCGTAAATTGTTCATGGGTTCATTATCGGGCCAATTTGAAATCGGAGTTCTACTGGGTGTCGATTGACAATATATTGGTATTGTTCAGTTGAGAAATGTGCAGTTTAGAAAGGAAAGAATATCAAGAACGGTCACTTGTATGTGAAAAAGTTTATTTCTTTGTACACAGTGATCTCGGATAAAAGTCGTTTAAGAAAATCTGTCGCAGTATTGTGACTTTCCATTTCGAAGCATGAAAATGTATTGCATGGAATTTTCGCTACTACTTTTGCTTTGATGAACTGTTAACAGGTTCGAATTGCACAGAAATATTTGGGTGTTTATGATGTGTTCCTGCTGTTGCCGGTTTACCGATTTCTGATGATAGTGGATGGCCAAATAGAAAGAAGTGAATCGTGTTGTGATCCAGGAAAAAATGTTTTCTGTGTACCTGCTCTAATTAGCTTTGCTTTCTCTTTTTTTTATGGACGATGATGTGTTGATGTCGGTAGTTCTGTGATAAAATGGGAAAAAAATAATCTACAAGAAATTTAGTCTTTGATTGAATTGTAATAATTCAATGTATTACTTGATGGATTTCCGCTGACTTATTGCGTTCGACTATGAAATACGTATGTTCATAGTCTAAAAGGAATCTCGAAACATAAATTCTGATGCTGAAAGGTACATACAAAGCGCACTAGCACTTTTTATAGAATTTTGTTGCAACAAATGTAAATGCGTGTGATGCGTAAAACACTCCTTTGCATAGAAAAAAATTATTTTCTGTAGATTTACATGTCAATTGCTATCTTTTAATGGCTTTTCCGCCCCTCATCTGGAGACTATCAATGAACTTCAGTTCACGATTATAAACAATTGGAACTAACTTATTTCTGAAGAGAACAGTGAGTATAAATTTCAAGAACTTTCCCGGCTCTCTACTCGTTCCCCTTGTCGATAGAAATTAAATATAGAACTAAAGAGAAAAATTACAGAATAATAAGTATTAATTAAGCCAGCTATATTCATGTCAACTTCGTATTTTGTGGATAGGCAACGGCACTTTCGCAAAAGTTTTTTTTTTATTTCAAATCAGAGGAAACAACAAAGATTCCTACTCCGATAATCGCTCTTTTTGCAAAAAAAAAGAGCAAGTCTAGAAGAAAGCTTCTAAATTTCATATGTTATGTCATTTTAATAACGCTAGAGAACATTTATGACTTCCAAATTTAAACCTAAAAAAGTCAATACGAACAAGTTTTTTACATGAATTCAAAAGCATGCATGGCACCATTTCGGTGCATGAAGCCAATACTCGATGATGCATGATGATAGAAAATGGCAGAAAAAATCGAAGTACTATCGTATTTCCGTATTAAGGTTAAGCGAACGCAAAATAATGCACATATAATCATATGCTGGCATTTTAAATTCTAATGATCTGCAGTCAATGTGCGTCATTAATGTTTTTCTTGACAATTCAGCCATTAATTTTGTTTCATGAAGTTGATAACAACGTAGTTGTATTGACATGAAGTAAAATATCGCTCTGTAGCTACTTAGATCGTGAAAATCGTCTATTGGCATGTACCGATTCTAGCAGTGCAATGAATCCATTGATGTGAGCAAAAGTTGTAACTATTATTATTATTTCAATTTTAACTTTCGGTTGTGTTCGAATCCTTGTGTAACATATTGAGAACTATCCAGCAGCTGACAAATATGATTGTCTATTATATGCAGGGCGACCGACAAAAAATTCTTGATTGTCGACGCCCACGTTGAAGTAAAAAGCTTGAGCGGCGTGAAAAAGAAAGTGAGAATGAATGAGAAATGAGGGTGTAGGTTGGTGCCAGAACAATTCTATCACCATCACACCTACACCCAGTTTTAGAGTCTTTTCATTTTCTTTGTGATTTGTTTTCAACATTTTTCAGTACAATTGTTAATATTAAGATATGAAAGAGAGTCTGCATTACTGCGCATTATTATCAATATGAAAAAGGGTGGGTGTGGAAGTGTCGTTCTTCTATTACTCCATAATCAAACCCACAACGAACTCTGGTTATTTAGATTACAGAAATCGCCTATTATTGAAACAACCTACGAATTCATTCTGCCAAAAAAATGAGAAAGTCTACTATCAATTATCAAACTTCCGACGATTTCAAACAAAAATCATGTTCCAAACACAACACAGGACAGTGATCCAAAAAAGAATAAGATATCGTATCAATCATTACTGACATATGAACGACGGCTCATGTAGCATCATTCATATAACTACTAGCTATCGAGGCACTCACGTCATGAAAAGTAACTGTTGTAATCTTCTAAACTTGTCAAAACTGAAATTTACAGTAAAATATTTAAACTGATTCGACAACCAAAAACGAAGCCAGACAAGGATACATATCAAGAAAGATATATAAAATCACCGAATCATAAAGCAAGAATTCACTGATTACACCTGACGTAATTAAACATTCGAATAGTTATCAGATCTCTAACTATCTGATTAGACCATAAAGTCAGGTCGAAAGGTGTCATGATTGCTTATAAAACACAGCCTCACATCAGTTTAGTTAGATTCCCCAAACTGTGTTGCCTTCAATAAACACTAATTTCTTTGCATATTCAATTTTTGAATTATGAATGTTATTCTCCGATCTTATCCATATCAAAATGAATAGAATCTCATAAGATGCTTACGCAAGAGACGAAAAAAGAAAATAATACATATGTAACACTAATATTGTAAGGGGAAAGTGATATGCGCAAGAAAAAAAGAGCTGATCGAGGGTGACGAATATTAACCATCCTTCTGCTTAATGATATAAAAATAGTAGAAATTATGCATGTTTTTTTTTGTTCTTCTCGTATTTCACTGAAATACTTAGATAGCAATTGAATACAAAAAATGACGCATAAATAATGAATAATATTTGTCTTACAAAAATCATTAACAGAGAGAGAGAAGAGAATATCTCACATATTGTCACAAAAGTGAATGCGCAAACCGAAGGGAAAGAAAATTGGAAAAAAACAGCAGTACGAAGCATGACGTTGTTATTTTTTGCTTCTCGTACGTTGGACGTCATCGCTAGTTAGGTTTTCGCTCGTTTTTTGTCTTCCTTATTTTTGCCTTATTATTTTCAATAGGAACCACGTGAGGTTCGTCTTTCGTTGTCAACAGAAAATGTTAAGTATTGTACTAAGAGAAAAAATAAAAATAGAAAGAATATTATTTAATTAAGTGACAAGTAGTTATTCCCAATTATCGATCAACCACCAACCTATCATATTAAGCAATATGGATGAACAAAATTCAAAAGTCTCAGTGAAAGTAGCATCAACACAGTATGATAGCATCCAGTCACGGCCACTTATCACTCAAGCTTTCTCCTTGGTGTGGTTGGATGGTAATATTGACCGAACCGCAGAACGTTATCGAAATACATTGGTATATCTGCAGAACTTAGCGAACGATGTCTATACATTCACGCAGCTGGATGAATGTATCGACTTTGTCACAGAAGTCGATGATAGAAACGTATTCCTCATTCTATCAGATACTATTGGCAAAGAAATATTGTCCCTCATTCATGATATTCGTAATCTGCAAAGTATTTACATTTTTGGCGAGCACGAAGTTCAACACGACGATTGGAACAATAGTTGGAACAAAATAAAGGGCAAATATGTCGAAATCGTACCCATTTTCGAAGCACTAAAAAAGAGCATCAGACAATTTAATCAAGATGACATTTCACTAAGCTTGATCAATATAAAGGAAGAAGATTCCAGACAAAATCTCGATCAACTGGAACCTTCGTTTATGTATATTCAAATATTCAAAGAAGTTCTCTTTGAAACCGACCGTACGGAACTAAACAAGGAAGATTTTGTTCGATTTTGGCGGAATGAATCTAAGAATAATAGCATAACGTTGAAGATCATCGATGAGTTTGAACGTGATTATTGTCTACAATCAACAATTTGGTGGTATACTCGCCAAACTGCCATCTATGAGATGCTGAACTGGTCTCTTCGGAAACTAGATTCAAGAATAATGATGAAAATGGGCTTCTTTATTCGTGATCTTCATTACCAAATTGTAGAATTACACAAGCAACAAGTAAAAAATTATCAGATAGACCCTCTTATTGTTTACCGAGGACAAGGTTTGTCCACCAGTGATTTCGAGAAACTTCAGAAAAATCAAGGAGGTTTGATGTCTTTTAATAACTTTTTATCAACCAGTAAAGATCAAGACACTTCCCGTGTTTTTGCCGAATCCAATTCATCCAGAAGCCATACAGTAGGGGTCCTTTTCCAGATTTCCGTTCATCTCATGGCATTCTCTACTCCTTTTGCCTCAGTTAAGGATCTGAGCAATTTCAATTCAGAAGAAGAGATTCTCTTCTCCATGCACACTGTTTTTCGTGTCGGCGAAATCAAACAGGAATTCGCTGGTAGTCCTGTGTGGACAATACAATTAACTCTCACCGACAATAATAATCCACAGCTTGCTGCTATCACTCAATGCTTGCGAGAGGAGACTCAAGGATCCACAGGTTGGTATCGGCTTGGTAAACTGATGAACAAACTTGGTCACTTCAATCAAGCTGAAGAGCTCTACAATGAATTACTCAATGGTGCTCCCAATGACAACGATAGAGCACATATCTATCACATGCTTGGAATGCTAAAATTTCAGCAAGGTGAATATAAAGAAGCAGCTTTATTTTACGAAAAGTCTCTCGAAGTCGAGCGAAAAACTCTCCCACAAGACCATTCATCATTAGCCACTACATACAGTAACATTGGTGGGTTGTATGGCACCATAGGTGATTACTCAAAAGCACTCGAATATTACAATAAAGCACATAAAATCCAAGAAACAGTTTTGTCACCGAATCCTTCCGATTTGGCCTACTCCTACAACAACATAGCTCTAGTCTATCAATACATGGGTGATAATTCGAATGCAATTGAATTTTACAACAAAGCACATAAAATCAAAGAGACATCTCTGCCACTGAATCATCCCTCATTGGCTACTTCCTATAGCAACATTGGTACACTGTATAACAACACGGGCGATTACACGAAAGCGCTTGAATATTGCACTAAATCTCTGAAGATAAGAGAAATAACTCTGCCTTCAGATCATCCCTTATTGGCTATTTCATACAACAACATTGGCCAAGTGTATGAAAAAAAGGGTAATTACTCAACGGCACTTGAATTTTACATGAAATCACATAAAATCCTTGAGATAGCTGTACCTGAGAATCATCCCCATTTGGCTACCTCATACAGCAGCATTGGTGGAGCATATGACAGCATGGGTAATTATTCGAAAGCACTTGAATTTTACAACAAAGCGCATCAAATTCAACAAACAGCTTTGCCTTCAAACCATCCTACTTTGGCTCTCTCCTACAACAATATAGGTTTAGTATATCACACCATGGGAGATTATTCCAAAGCGCTTGAATTTTATAACGAATCGCTTAAAATAAGAGAAACAACTCTGCCTCCGAATCATTCAGATTTGTCCTCTTCTTACAACAATATCGGTGGAGCGTATGACAACATGGGTGATTATTCAAAAGCACTTGAATTTTACAACAAATCACTTAAGATAAAAGAAAAATCTGAGCCTCTGAATCATCCAGATTTGGCGCTCGCTTACAACAATATCGGTGGAGTGTATAACAACATGTGTGATTACTCCAATGCACTTCAATTTTACAACAAATCACTGAAAATACGAGAAATAGCTCTATCACCAAATCAGCCCGATTTGGCTTTATCTTATAACAACATCGGTACAGTGTATTACAACGTAGGTAATTACTCAGAAGCACTCGAATTTTACAACAAAGCCCGTAAAATCTTCGAAATATCTTTGCTTCCGCATCATCCCTTATTGGCTACGTCATACAACAACATCGGGAAAGTGTATGGTAGTATGGGTGCTTACTCGAAAGCCCTTGAATTTCACCAGGAGTCGCTTAAGATAAAAGAAAAAATGCTGCCTTCGAGTCATCCTCATTTGGTTGCTTCCTATAATAACATTGGTGCAGTGTATGACAGTATGGGTGATTACTCCAGAGCCCTTGAATTTTACAAGAAGTCGCTTAAGATAGCAAAAGCAGCTCTATCGCCGAACTATCGTGATTTGATTATTTCATATGACAGCATCGGTCTAGTGTACAACAACATGGGTGATTACCTGAAAGGTCTTGAATTTTACAACGAATCACTGAAGATAAGCGAAATAAAGCTACCTCCAAATCATCCAGATTTAGCTAGATTATACGGTATTATCGGCGTACAGTATAGCAATATAGGTGATTACTCGAAAGCACTCATATATTTGGAAAAAGATCTAGAAATTAAGAAAAAAATACTTCAAGATGGAGATGCAGATTTTTCTTTCACTTATACTTGGTGTGGAAGAGTTTATCGCAGTTTGAAAAGTTATTCTAAGGCACTAGAATGTTTCACCAAGGGTCTGGAAATAGATGAAAAAACATTATCCGATAGGCATCCAGATTTGGGTATATCATATAGTAATATTGGCGATACACATAGATTAATGGGTGATTATGAGAAAGCATTATCGTTTCATGAAAAAGCGTTAAGTATTCAAGAAAGTGTGGCATGTAATCCTCTCCATTGTGCTACAACATATATAAATTTAGGTGAAACTTATCGTGAAATAAAAGATTATTCAACAGCATTATCATATTATCAAAAAGGATTAGAAATTCGTGAAAATAAACTATCAAAAAATCATCCTAATGTGGCTGTCGCATATCACAATATGGCGAAATTATATTTAGCTACTGGACAATATAATATGGCCATGAAAAATGTTCAACAAGCATTAGAGATTGGACAAGAGAAATTACCTACATCTCATCCTCATCTATTAGAATATAGAGAAACGTTTGAACAAATTCAAAGAAATATGTAGATTTTATTGAGAGTCTTGATGTATCAAAGGAAGAGCAGGACATATACTGTTAAGATTCGTATGAAAATTTGAGTAGCGTATATATGGAGACTTGATGTAATAGTTGTCAACAAAGCAGAGATTTTAAATATCAAAATTACAATAAATTAGTACAAATTTATATTTCGAATTATGTGCTAATATTTTTCTCAATCGGAACAGCACCAATCTGATTGGTTGTTGATAAGTTTATGCATTTCTGATTACGGCTAATTGATCAATATACATATTTATTTAGCACTAGTTACATTTCATACTAGAGCTATGGATAGAATACCAGGAATGATGAGAAAATTGGATATTTTCACTTTTATGTTTCCTATTACGAAAACATGGCCGTTTAGACTCTGGCATCACCATAAGCAATATGTTATGTATTGCTTGTGAACTTAAATTACCGATAGAATTGCAGTAGTGCTACATATGCTGATATGTGACGAAAAGAACCGATTGATTTCACTAAATCATCATGGAATGTATAATCACCTCATATACGTAGAATAAAAGCATAATCTTGAAACAAATTTTCATCATTCTCATGAACACCGATATTGAACATGAAAACGTCTAAAATGCCTCTTTTTCTTCTTTATCAAAAAGAAAACACCCAATAATCCTGTTCTTGGTTCTATATAAATAAATAAAATAGTCATTCTGTCAATAGTATTCGTCGTCATAAAAGAAATTTCACAGTGTGCACAAGTATATTCTTCACAACGAATATTAATCAAAACTGTATCTTATTTTGCTTATAATGAGGACAACCTCGAGAGAAACAAGAGTAAAACTGAAAATTACTAGGTGTATCTCTAATCGCGAGAACCCAATATTTAATCAAATAATCGTCGGTGATGGGTCTTATACGTTAAACCTGCTAATTCATTTTCATGTTTGACATTGTTATTGCAGGTTCTATTATATATCAATCACTTGAGGGTGTGGTTGTGGGCGTGCACGTTTTCTAGTTTTCTAGCCTTGTACACCCCCACACTCACGCCCAAACTTTTCGGAAAACTGCTTCCGGAATTCGATGGAAAATCGCCGAATCAGACTGTTTCCCGCCGTACGTATTTGACCTGGGTACCAATGCTTAATCGTTCTGATTTGTAGAATGCGTATATTTGTCGCAACTTTGTCCTGCATAACTTCTGGGTTTATTTTTCTTTGCCTGGCACACATGCATGGTTCATGCTGTTCATACGGAGAACACATCTTATCATTATTATGCTTTGTTTCTGAAATGGTTTACCTGATATAAAAAAATATTCAACAATTTTTTCAGAATGTTTCTCATCTTCAAAAGCACATTTCAATCTCACGAACTGTGTCTCTTTATTGTCTATAATTATGGTTTTCACATAAAAAAAATTAAACGGATACTAAAACAGACGCACATACGCAATCGTCAAACGGCCTATTTTGGTCCCCACCAGTGTGAAGACGGCAAGTTACTTGGATGCACATCACTCACTCGAATCATAATGCCATAGCACACAATATCCTGTGTAATATACTCATCCTTGCTGTTCGACCCTGGAATGAGCCATTCCAGTTCTTCGTTTGTAAAGTTAGCGTCAATCAGCTTCTGCCCATGATATAATGTTTCTTTATGCACATTGTCTTTAGTGACCAGACGTGGATTAACACGACATTGGAAGACAAGTTGGCAGTATTTACTAGTGATGCCAGATTTTTGCCAAATACTGCTGTAGCGAGGGTGTGCAGAGTATTCGATGCTCGGCGATACATAGACGGAAGGACGCTTTAAATAGCAGCCGCTCGTACTCACTTTCAAGCTCGACTCAAGAATGGCCGCAGCAATGGTGCCCTTTGTACCGTGATAAGCTATGTGCCATGAGCTCCATCGTTGATCGAATTCCGCTTCGTTATCAGTCACTTTCAAAGCATATCGTTTCCAACCTGCAACATATATTTCGCTTCTAGAATTGAGTTCTTTTTTATTAGAGAATCTCTAGTAGAGATTCGCTATAAATAAAACTGATTAGAATGAAGGTGAAATTAAGAAAGAAAAAGCAATCTCAGTGGCCTCCCCTAGTCGTTGATAGGGGAGGTACTTTAACCTTAATAAAAGTGCTGTAAAAATGAAAGAGAATTTTTAGCTCTTTATGTGCAATTTTATGTTGTTTTTAGAGTAACTTTAACTTTTAAAGTTTAAAGTTAAAGTGCCACCCCTAGTCCTTTACAGTCTCTCCACAAGACAAATAATTTGACAGTCGAATTTTTTTCTGATTGTGTCAGAATGGAATAGAATTTTGCCAGTAGTTTCTGAAAACCAATCAAACTCAACATGGAAATTTGCAAGAAGCCTTCCGAAAAATGTCAACAGTATCCGGTTTGAATGACGTCTTCAGGGGCAATATTTTATTATTCCTACCTTTTGGGCAATAGTATGGTTTGCCGCCTCGATCGATAGCGCCTGACCAGAACGTGCCGCCGGGTTTGCCACTTGCACTAGCATATACGCGATTCCATTTCGGATTCATCACCTCTGTCCCGAAATGTCCCAATGTGATTGAACGAATTGAATTTTGGAATTTTGATTTAAGTTTGCCTATAAGCGTATCAGACGAATAATTATCAACCCTATTACTCATGAGTTCTTTCGTCACTGTTTCACCATGAGGTGGATGCACCAATGTGTGGACAACGTACATGGCTTTATTATTATCATCATTTTCTTGCACAACTTTAATCACTTGAAACTTATTCGTCGATTGATCAATGTGGAAGTGATCACACACCAGCGAGTAGAATTGTTTTTGGCCGACAGGCATTCGAATACTATCATTTTCGGAATTTAATGATTTATCGATGTTCCAGAAGGAGAGAGTCATTGACAAAGGATTATCTTTGAATAGAGAGTTCATGATCCAAGTAGTAATATCTTGAATTCGCTACCGAAGAAGGTTTCGACACTACATTTCTGTAGTAGAAAACGAACATGTTTGAATACAAGTGTTTGAATACTATGTAGTCATGACTAACCTAGGTCAAAAAAGTCTTCTTACAAACTAGTCATACATACTGCTCGCACTTCATTGGTTATTTTTATCCCTTTTGCACACCAACTGATAGAGCACTGATAGAGTGTTCATTGTATGTAAAATATATTATCAAGTACGTTGTTTTCCTCTAAATGGCACGTATCAATCGAGAACAATTGCAAAAGCGGATTGTACAACACTACATAAACATAGCAAACAAAAAAAGACGAATTAAAATAAAGCATTTTTTACAAGAAAAAATTCCTCGTCAAACCACATATAGTATCATTAACAAGTACGAAGATTCTGCCTATGTTGGTGACAAACCAAGATCTGGTCGTCCAAAGAAATTGTCTCGTGGAAAATTAACAAAACTCAAACGTCTTGTTAATAAAAAAACTTCTTCGAAAATCCGGATTATTTCGGATTGCCACCTTAAAAATCCGATTAATACACTAAAAAATCCAAGTTTTCCAAAAAAATCGGATGATAATCGATTATAATCTCACAATCAGATGTAAAATTAATCTACTCAATCGATTATGAACGATTACTCTGCACAACAGTTGATTATAACCAGCAAATCCACTAATAATCGATCAATCGATTATAATTTCCAATAAAATTCAATCGGCCAGAGGATTATCATCCGGTTAATAGTAATTGTTAAAGCAGCAATCGAATTTTAATCTGAAATATAATCTAAATCCATATCATCGATTGAAATCTTCAATCCGATGGAATCCATTGATTGATTATCATGTCGTTATTCTCGATTATTTCGACTTCAATTTGATTTTCATCCTAAATAGAATTGAAATCTCCACAATGAATTGAAACCTTGGGTTAATTCGAAATGAGTGAATAATTATTATGTGAGCAGTGCTTAAATATTTTTACTTCAATTTGGTTTCTATCTCGAATGTTATTCTAATTTTAACAATGAATTTAGGTGTTCAATGAAATATATTGATTGTCTTATTGCTAGTATCTATAAGGCTGACCATTTTATGAGTATCTTTCATATCTGATGTCGAATTCGAATGTTTATAATGAATTAATGTAGTTAGTTTTTCGCGACGGGCTTCCATTGGTCAGAAAATAGGTCCACCCCAGAGTCAAAAGCTGTAATGCTAGATTTTTTATTTCAACTCCGAGCTATATACTGATGACATTTTGTTATAGGTTATCGAGGTGGACGATTGCGAATCCGGCATCATGGATTGCGCCCTGGTATCGGACAGTTGAATGATGGTTGTTTTCAATCGGCTTTCTGCTGTAAAATTGCATTGGATTTCGATCGTCGGGTGCCAACCCTGCTTCCAATCAGATGCTATTGTGGGATTGATCGACCCGGGGGTAGTGAATATAGTGTTAACGACCGTTTACGGTCATGGTAATCTTCCTCCTGAGTGGAATGCCACGTAGGTATGCTGTAGTTCTTGACGGTGTCAGGCCGGATACAGATAGTTTCGTTAAATAGTCCGTCGCGGATATGGTAGCTTCCTGAGTGAGTTCATTGCTTATGTAGTTGTTTCCTGGTGTATCCGATCAAGTGGATTTTGTTGTGAAGCTTTGGATCCGGTACGGTGATTTCCGGTCCGGAATCCTGCTTCCATTTCCCTGGTGCTCTCCGGCGGTTCCGGAAGGAAGCACTCGGTATTTTAGTGGAATTAGCGGGAAAAAAGACCGTTTCCTTTCGTTTCCTGCAGGATCCGGACGCCGGAATCATTGTCCTTTGACAGCAACTCTTGATGTCCAATCTATGAAAGTAGCTCTATTTTCTCTGGTAACCCTTGAATCCCACGGTTCCAGAAATAGTCAAAGTTCACAAGGTAGTAAGTTTCTAATCACTAAATCCGACTGTTCTTCCGAACTCTCAATGTTTGACCTTTGAATCTGATTCAAAATTCTCGGTTAAATTTTAATCGTATGGCTCCGTAAAAATCTTAGTTTCAGAAGGCAGAAAGT